AGAACAGTCGTTGAATTATTGTAATAACTTGAGATTCGATAATATAACTTCTTTATTGTAAAGTAATACACTGTGGATATGATAAACCGAAAGCTTCAATCGACTGACGCGAAGACTAAGAGTTAAGCTGATAACCCAAGAGTCTCTCTCTCTGAACTCCGTATGGAAAAAAGGCCAATGAGGTTGCAGCTTGAAAATGCGGCTATGCGTGAGCATATGCTAATGAGTTCAAGTACGCGCCAAGAAAAAGATGGTTTTAAATACGCACGATACGCACTTAAGTAAAGGTTAAAGGTCGCGTAGTGTTTGTGGTGTTACAGTGAATTTTATATATAATAATAAAAAAAAAAATTTGTAACGGTATTTGTCGCGGGACGTGACAGTGGGAACAAGAACAGAACAAAATACAATAACATTTTATATATGTACAATTCAATATTTCTTTATTTACTTTATAATTTGTATTCTTTCCGTTATGTATACATATGCTTTTGCAAATTAACAGAGATTTATAAAATATTTAAAAAAATATATTATTCGATATTGCTTCTTTTTAATATTACACAAATATCCTACGTATAACTGTGAAAGCTTGCATTATAAACCGTAGGATACGATCAGTTTTCAATATATTTGTAAGAATATTAAAATAAAAAACACATTAATCGATATTGCTTCTATTTTCTGTTATAAATATCCTATGTATAACTGTGAAAGCTTACATCATAAATCATAGGAGAGGAGAGGGGAACGTGCGCAACAGCCACGAACGTGACTTTCCTCATAAAAAGTGTCAGTCTTGTATAAGTTTTCAATTGTGCAGCACGCGTCTCTACGTTATTCCAATAGACTACAGAGTGATGGTGGTGGGAGGCGACTCGAACTCACTGATTAATTCGCTTCCGCAGCGCTCACCCCCTCGCTCAAAGGGGAAACGTGGGTCGTCGTAAAAAAAAAAGTAAAAATCGTACGTAAGCTTACATGCGTGCAGCATGCGCCTTCGGTAACTTATTGTTAGGGAAAAGTGGATAAGGGGAGTGATGATGGTGGGGCTGGGCGATGGGTGAAAAAGTGAGTGTTTGTGTTTGGGTGAAGAATTGCGAACTTCCTTTTCTTTTAGCGGACTGTAATATTTTTTATCTATAAACGCTTGCTCGATACAATAACCGGTTATATGTTTATTGAGAGAGGCCGCGAGTCCTGGTCGCGACGGCAGCGCCGGTGAGCGCCACGTCGCCTAGCGGCTATATCGGCAACTGGTTGCTACCCTGATTGTCAGATGAACACAAAACGGTAGCGCCATTTTCAAACCATAGAAAGAAAGCAATATCAACGTGAACATACCGCCCACCAAGATTAGATAGCTAATCTTTCTTGCTCGATTTTTCGTCCATCGGTAATTTGCAAAGTTTGGCGATTGATCTCTTGACTAGACCGTTGGCGGTGCGAACTGTAACAACTCTCACCAGTCCATCCTTGCCAGCATGGATCTGGCTTACTCGACCCATTCGCCACTTGAGGGGTGGAAGATTATCTTCTTGTAGTAACACAAGATCGTTTTCCTTGAGGTTTTCTTGGCGGGTTTTCCACTTAACACGGCCTTGAAGGTTGGCCACATACTCAGCCGCCCACCATTTCCAAAAATTTTGAACCGTGCGCTGTACTGCTTCCCATCGATCGAGACGATTGATTCGAACGTTCGATAAATCAACTTCTGGTATGCTTGTCAATGGCGCGCCCGTGAGAAAGTGACCTGGTTAATGGTTGGAGGTCCAAAGGATCCGCGGACAGCGGGGCTAATGGCCGGGAATTTAGACAAGCTTCAATCTGGATTAAAACAGTGGATAGCTCCTCGAACGTGAGCAGATTGTTGCCCATTACTCGTTTCAAATGATATTTGCATGCTTTGACTCCGGCTTCCCAGAGGCCTCCTAAGTGCGGAGAATACGGTGGAATGAAGCTCCATTCAATACCCAATTCTAGCAACGTATCATTGGCTGGACCATTGATAGACGAGCGGACAAAAGAGTATATCTCTTCTAACTCCCTTTTAGCGCCGACAAAGTTCGTGGCGTTGTCGCTACAAATTTTGCGTGGGACTCCGCGACGCCCAACAAATCTACGCAGTGCGGCTATGAATGCCGCTGTTGATAGTTCACTCACTACCTCCAAATGTATCGCCTTTGTGGCGAAGCAAACGAACAAAGCTACATACGATTTACATGTTTTTCTACCTCGACCTTTGTTGAGTAGAGTGATAATGGGACCAGCATAGTCGATTCCGGTTACAGAGAATGCACGCGATGGCTTGATCCTGTCGCTGGGCAGATGTCCCATGGCTTGCGTAAGCCCTTTAGGATTGTTTCTGACGCACCAAACGCATGTCCGGCAAACTTGACGAACTATGTTCCTGGCGTTTAATGGCCAGTATTGCTGTCGTATTGATGCCAACAATAATTGCTGATTTGCGTGTAGTAATAAGCGGTGTGCTCTTTCCACGATTAAACGGGTAATCTTGCATTTTGCAGGCAGCAAAATAGGATATTTCCTTTCGAAGGTCCAGGGCCTCTCTTGAAGACGACCACTCACTCGTAAAATACCGTTTTCGTCCAGGAACGGATGTAACTGATATAGCTTGTTTGAGGCTCTCATCTGTCCTTGGCCTTGCAAATTTCTCAATTCCTCTTGGAAATAAAAACTCTGAGTGTACTTGATTATCATTCGTCGGGATTCATTTATTTCTTGCAAAGTTAGTCTAGTCCGTAATCTGTCGCGTGGTTCCTTACGACAGTTGTGGAGGAAACGAAGGCAATAAGCGAGCGATCGTTCTATTTTCGTCAATGTTGAACAATCTTGAATGAGCCTGTGAAGCGATTCATTCGGAGAAAATTGCCGTATATTTAAATGACACAGACGAGACCTACCCTTCGCCTCGATTTCAGCATCAGCCATATCGCTTTCAAGAGCGTTTGGATGGAGTTCTTCGCCGTGCGCTGGACGCAGTGATTCTGATAACCATTTTGGTCCGTACCACCATAGCCGATTGTCTCTTATCTTGACAGGTGTGGCGCCTCTTGATAGCAAGTCTGCCGGGTTCTCGGAACTCTTGACGTGCCTCCAATTGACGGCAGGCAGGTTGTCGACAATTTCGGTCACGCGGTTGGAGACGAAGGACTTCCAACGCGAAGCATCTCCACGTGTCCAATATAGCACGACCATCGAGTCACACCAAGCGTGCGTTTCAACTACCTTTACCTGTATGGCTTGTTTCACATTGACAATTAATTTTGATAATAACAAAGCACTGCATAGCTCTAATCGCGGTATAGATTGCCTTTTCAGGGGAGCAACCTTTGCTTTGGAACATAATAAGCCAACCGATATTTCGTCGGAAGTATCGCCTTTCCATTGTATGTAAATGCAAGCACCGTATGCGTTTTCGGACGCATCGCAAAACCCGTGTACAATGACTCGGCCCGCCTTTGATATATTAGTGACTATACGTGGAATCCGTATCAAGTTTACATCCATCAAACTTTGCTGAAAGGTTCGCCATTTATTTAAAAACGCATCAGGAAGGGGATCGTCCCAACCTGTTTTTATTTCCCACAATCCCTGCATCAAAATTTTGGCTGTGGTCATAACGGGACCAACTAATCCTAACGGATCGAATAATTTGCTTATAACCGAAAGCACGGCACGCTTCGAGGATGCATCTTCCAATGACTGTACAGTGAACTGAAGCTCGTCGGACATCGGATTCCATTCGAGGCCTAGCGTTCGGGTGACGTCGCTATTGCTGAGACTCAAATTTGTGTTGAATTCACGCAAATTCGTGGGTACACCGTCCAATGCTTCTACTGCGTTCGAGCACCACTTGTGTGCCTCGAAGCCCCCCTTGGCTAATAAAGATATCAATTGCCTTTGCAGAATACATGCATCCCCGATCGTGTCCGCTCCTGTGATTATATCGTCTAAATAAGTGTCGTTCAACAATGAACGAGCCGCTAGCGGATGATGCTCTAGTTCTACTGAAGCGAGTTGTCTCAGACACCTTATAGCTAAATATGACGCACAGGATTGTCCGTATGTAACAGTATTCAAATGATATTCCTGTACAGGCTCGTCGGGTGAAAATCGCCATAAGATACGTTGAAACTCTCTTTCATCATGGTGTACCAATACTTGATGGTACATTTTTTGCAAATCCGCTATAATAGCTACTTTGTAGAATCTGGATCTCAAAATTATATCAATTAAATTGTCCTGCAATACGGGACCAACGAGAAGCGCATCATTCAAGGATACACCTTGGTTATTTTTCGCTGACGCATCAAAAACGACGCGAAGTTTGGTATTATTAATGTTATCTTTGAAAACTCCGTGATGAGGGAGATATACTATGGGTCGTGAATCTTGAATTGATTTATTCACGATCGACATATGATTTAACTCGACGTATTCGGACATGAATTTAAGGTATTGCTTGCGAAAGACTTCGTCACCCTTGAACCTGCGCTCTAGCTGATACAATCTTTTCAACGCGATTTCCTTGTTATTGCCAATAGGAAGGTTCTTTTCGCCAAAAGGCAATCTAACTATGAATCTTCCATCGTTTGTTCGATTAGTAGTCTGCTCAAAATATTGTTCGCAAAATTTTTCGCCTACTGATAGTTTTCGCGCCTTGTCATTGTCGTAACTTTCTAACTTCCAAAAGTTTTCTATATTCTTGTCTAATGAATCCGTGGAACCTAGTGAACAGGTCATTACAGTTAATGCATTTCGTTTGTAAACTTGAAAATTCGTGACCGCGGATGGTATTGAACCGACCACTAACCAACCAAATTTAGTGTTTTGTAGAGTCAATCGATCGTTATCAATTTCGATTTTACCATTTTCTAGCAAGTCAAAAAAGTATTCGGCTCCGATTAACATGTCTATCGGACTACTCTTAAAGAACTCGGGGTCTGCCAGTTCAAGATTTCCCGGAATTTGAATCCGTTGACAATCCATTTCCGCGGATGGCAGGTTTTTAGTAATTCTAGGAATAATTAGAAACTGAGTGTTGAATTCAAATTCAGAACACCTTGACTTGACGTGTACATCGCAAATGCTGTAGATTTTGTTCTCTACCCCATTCAAACCCGTAACAGTTTCTGAAATATTGTTTCGCCTTAAACCTAATCGGTTGTGCGCTGCTTGTGTAATAAAATTGGCTTCGCTAGCACTATCTAACAGTGCACGTAGCATTATATTAGAACCGTTGCTGCGGGTTCCCTTTACAACTGCTGTTGCCAAAAGCACTCGACGATTACTCGATTTTTTGGATGAATGATGAACCGATACATTGTTGACCGGCTGCTCGGAACCAGCCTTGGCTAAAGATTCCGATCCACCTGGCTTGGCCGGAGATATCTGATCCTCCTTAGACGTGTGGCACAATGTGTTGTGCTTTTGAGTACATTCTCGACAATGCCCCATCTTGCATGTTTTGACGTAATGGTCATTTCTCAGGCAATTTGAGCACAACTTCAAACGTTTGACCTCCTTGATTCGGTCAACCACCGATAATGCTAGAAACTGCTCGCAAGAATATAAGTAATGGTTTCCATTACAAAGGTAGCACTTACCTGAAGAGAAAGAGGTTGCAAGAGCGGCCCTTTTATTTTTTAGCCCTGTTGCAGAGTTTGCCTTGCCACGTTGCTCACCTTCCTTGGAGGGCTTTTCTGTTTTGTCAACGTTTCTGGACTCAATTCGCTCTAGTGTTTGACACCTATTCCTTAAGAAACTTAGCATGTCATCTAGCTTGACGTTTTCGTTCGACTTAATCTCTTCTTCCCAAGCTCTGAGTGTCCTTATGTCGAACTTGGCTTCCAACATGTGCATGATGAGTTCGTCCCATGTCTCCGTGGGGGAGCCTAGCACCTTCAAAACTCGTAGATGTCTAGAAGTGTAATCGATTAGTTCCCGCAGAGCCTTCGCCGACTCTTTCGATATCGCAGGCATTGTGAATAGACACTGTATGTGCCTTTTCTTTAATGATCTCGGATCGTCATAACGCTGCTGTAGCAATTCCCATGCCGCAGCGTAATTCTGACTCGTCAACTCTATTGATTCTATGATTTTCGCGGCATCGCCCGAGATGGATGAAGGTAAATATTGAAACTTTTCGATAGTGGATAACTGAGACCTTTCATGTATAATGGAACGGAAGCTGTCGGAAAAGCGTTTCCATTCTTCGATTTTGCCATCAAAATGCGGCAACTTGATAACTGGCAATTTGATTCTAGAATCTACATTCGTGAAACCCGACGCTATAGATACTTGATCAAGAATCTCTGTCTGCCGCGAAAGTATGGCCGGCAACGCGTCATTTTCCGTTGGGGGTGTCATGGCCGACACGTAATTTCGCGAACCGCGTAGCTGGGGCCCTATTCTTGAAATAGTTGCGTATACGTAAGTGGCAAGTTGCGAATACTCGCAATAGAAAATCCCTAGAACAGTATTCTAGACAGTCGTAAGTGCAACGTGTACGCAAAGTTTGCGTATACGATGCAACGAATGGGTCGTATTATATGTTTCAAGAGAAACGTGTACGTTTCATATTTAATGAAGATCAAAAACGACAATAAAGGCGAAAATAGATATGGATTTAGACGACATTATAATAAACGCACCGATTATGAATGCTGTAGAAAACATGGAAATCCCACGAAGAAGACGATTTCACTTTCGGGAAGATCCTTTCGAAGACCTAAGTGATCGACAATTTGTACAATTATTTCGATTAAATAAAGCTGCTACCACAAACTTAACAGAAATTGTCGAGCCATATTTGGTTCCTCAAACAAGAATATCTGCGATAAATTCTACAATAAAGGTAAATATTTTAAAGAAAAGAATTGTATATAGGTAAATATGTATGTACATATAATTTATATGTATATACCCAAGGAGAACAAGAGAGTCAAAATAATGTCAATTTGACATCATATTGACGAATTTATGTCCTTTTTTGGTCAGGATACAAATCTCGATCTCAGATGATCTAAATATGACTTTATATAAAGTCATTCTTAGATCATATGAGATCGAGATTTGTATTATAACCAAAAAAGGACATAAATTCGTCAATATGACGTCAAATTGACATTATTTTGACTTTCTTGTTCTCCTTGGGT